ACTAATATATTAATATCTATTAAAAAAAAAAAAGAAAAACGAAAAAAAAAATAATAAAATATAAAAATAAAAAAAAAAAAAAAAAAAAAAAAAAAAAAAAAAAAAAAAAAAAAAAAAAAAAAAAAAAAAAAAAAAAGAAAGAAAGAAAGAAAGAAAAAAAAAAATTGAGAATTTGGAATCCCAAATGGTAGTGTCATAAAATATTGCTAGAGTAAGGAAGTTTTATATTCCTTGTAAAGCTTGATTCAAACCTAAAAAAAAGGATAAGTTTTTATATCTTTGTTGACCTAGTTGACTAAATATTAACTTCTAACAATTTAGCCAAATTTAGATATAATATATCTTATTGATCGAATTGAAATTCTCGGAATATCCGAAAAACCCGCGATTTTATAATATTCAATAATGATTTTACAATATCTATATAGAAATAGAGCTAAATAATGCGATCTTTGTATTGTAACCAATCATATTTATCAATGATATTCATTAATTTTAGAAATATTAATTACAAATCGAAATGTTTCGAAAAAATAAAGAAAAATATTATGATGAAATGTAATAAATTGGATGATCCAAACAAAGAAACCGTAATGTAATCTTGAGTTACCTCCTAAAGCAATAATGGTAGTTTTGCATTGAGATTAACGCAGTTAAAAGTTTTTTTTTAACATGCAAACTCAAAATTTCTAAAATTCATTCCTTCTTTACTTAATAAAGAAACAATGGTTGAATTATGTTGCTTTTCAGGACTATTTTTGTAACTATAGTAATTATGAATTATGATCTACATTGCATACAATTAATACAAATTAGGTTAAATAAATTACACAAAAACTTATATTATTTTAACTTTTTTTCTTTCCTTTTGTATTAGGAGCCCAAACTTTTATAGTACAATCAGCAGAACAACTAGCCAAGAACGGTTCAAATGGATGAAAGTCAACCGCATACACAAAGTCCGTATGTCCTTCCAATCTCTGAATCAACTCACCGGTACCCTATAATACATAATAATTATTATCATTATTATTACTTGAAAAGAACTTTTCCGGTTCAAGTTACCTCTGGTCCACCAACATTATACAGATACGCGTACGGATCTGCACTTCCCGTGGCCAACAATAAACTTGCTTCCAATGGCTTGTCCCTCTCATATCTAATGAGAAAATTTTAATGAATATAATTTACACAATCAAGGTATTAGGTAACAGGTAATTTAAATAAACCTTACGTAACGTTATCCGCGGGGTCCGTTTTAGGATCCCCAGCATCAAAAATGTCATTATGCATTGACCTTTGTACTGTTGAATATTGATCTAACCATTGAATAAGACAATTAGTATGGTATATGAATTATAAAGACACATATAATTAAACTTATGAAAAATTCCCACAGTCTTTTCCGAGGAAATAAGAGGACCTTATGGGCCATCCCTTATTCTTGTAGCCCTTCAATACGTGAACGATTCTCAGTTGAGATTTCGGTGGCTCAATTCCACGATCATATATTCTTATAACTGAAACATTTTATGTTAGATGTAATTAAATAAAAGTTTTCCTTGTTCAATACGATGAACTTACCATTGTCGTAACTATTAACTGCCATATACCTAGATTCCTCATCACCTGTAATAATTCGTTTGAATTTAGCGGCGTGATTAAACAAATTCAATCGTGAAACATTTCTATAATCCTTACCAAGACTTTTTGAAACAGCAATATGTGAGATCGGCTTCCTTGTTGGTTCATTCAAAATCGATTCTAATGCGTCTCCTATTCGTGAAAAAATTTATATAAATATTTATATAAACTGATAAAGGACGACGCTTTTACAAACCGGTTCTGATATCCCATGTTTTTAAGAATCCGTTGGAATCTCCAGTAATAATATTTTGCCCATCTTGACAAACATAAAGTGAATTTATCATTCCATCATTTTTAAATTCAAGTGCACTTTCAGGTTTACGAATATCTATTAATGTTAATATCTTTCTTGAAGTTCCACTTGCAAACAAATTATTATCTATTTTATAGGTTTTTTTTTTTTTTTAAAAAAAAATAAATAATAATAATAAAATTAAAAATTAAACTCAAATAAAAAGCATTATAATTATTCTTCTTCTTATTCTTATTAGAAAAGAATACCTGCAGGATTGAACATGACACATTGGACAAATCCTTCGTTTTCAAATGAATTATATTTATTCGTTTCTACATCCCACAATTTACATGTTTGATCATAAGCTCCTGATAATAATGATGTTGAATCACGAGACCAGCAAACATCTGATATATTTAACATATGTCCTTTTAAGCATGCTTGCTTTATTTTTTTTTAAATAAAAAAAAAAATTGATAAATAAATAAAAAAAAGTGGTCAATTAATTGACAATCATCAAATATACCTCGTTTTGCAATGATATGGTATCCCATATTCGAATGGTTTTGTCAAATGATCCAGACGCAAGCATTTTTCCACATGGTGAAAAATGAATCGCGTGAACTGCTCCTCCGTGTCCCTAATAAAATATGTGTATATAAGATTCACCTTTTATCAGGTTTGAAATCATGAACATTTCCTTCAAACCTTAAATTCAGATCTTAGATGAAAGGTTCTTCCTTCATGATGTTTTTCAATCGCATTATTACCTATATCATTACATGTTACGTATTAATTTACATCAAGTATAGTAAAATCTCTTTAAGCAAATTTTCAATCTCAGCGTATACTCATCCCACCAGAAGTAGAATTCTCTAAGCTAATCTCTTTACCACCACCGTTATCCTGCGGAACAACTCCGCAAGCTTCTAGATCAATAATAAAAGGACTAGCTCTTTGATGGGAAGAAGCAGAAAACTTTACAGATAAATCATATATGGATTTTTTTAATAGTATATTTTCTTTTTCTAATGCATCAACTTTTTGTTTCAGTGCCTTGTTCTCTTTAATAAATTTATCTGTATGATCGAGATTTGACGAAAGGGCTGCTGTTAGCTTCATAGGTTCCATGGCTATCTATTATCATTTAAAACAGGGAGTGGTATAATATATCTTTGTATTCATACGACTTTTATAATATTTATTAATTTAATTAAAAAAATTTCATTAAATTGATGTTTAATAAAATAATTTTAAACCATAAAAAATTTGATTTTTCTTAAAATAAAAAAAAAATGTCCTGTCCATTAAGTTTTTTTTTTTTTGAGAAAAGAAAATTATCCTCAAAGATTGATCATATTTAGTGTAAATACTAAAGTTACACAAATCTCGGGATCGATTTCGTCACATGTGATTATACATGACACCAATCTTTTTTTTTTTTTTTTAAAAAAAAAAAAATGAATTCCAAGAGAATAGGAGTTTTAGGAGGAGGACAACTCGGTCGTATGCTAGTAGAAGCAGCGTCTCGTCTAAACATATCTATAACAATCCTTGATATCCCTGTTGACTCTCCCGCAAAACAAATTCAAGCAACGTCAAGACATATCCATGGTGACTTCAAAGATCCCCTAAAAATTCAAGAACTTGCACAAAATGTAGATATATTAACGATTGAGATCGAACACGTCAACGTTGAAACTTTAGAAACTTTATTTTCCGAAAAAAAGATTGAAATACATCCACATCCTTTTACAATTCGTATCATTCAAGATAAATTTTTACAAAAGACACACTTATCACAAAATGAAATACCCGTTGTAGATTTTATTGATATTTCTGATAGGGATTCAATAAATATTGCAGTAAAGAAATTTGGGTATCCTTTAATGTTAAAATCTAAAACTTTAGCTTATGATGGTCGAGGAAATCATATAATAAAATCTGAGGATGACATTACCAAAGCTTTAGAAACTTTAGGAAATTTTCAAAATCCATTATATGCCGAAAGATGGTCACCGTTCGTTAAAGAATTGGCCGTTATGGTAGTTAGAAGTGTTGATGGTGTGATGAAGAGTTATCCTGTAGTAGAAACAGTTCACAAGGAAAATATTTGTCATTTAGTTATTGTTCCAGCTCAACATGATAATATCATTTTAGGACGCGCCAAAGAAATTGCAGAAAAAGCAGTCTTAACTTTTAAAGGGTGCGGAGTATTTGGAGTTGAAATGTTTTTGATGAAGGATGGTAAGCGAAAGAGAATAGACAAAAAAATTTTTTTTTTTTTTATTTACAAGTGAGTTAACTTTATTTTCATGATTGTAAGGACAAATTTATGTTAATGAAATTGCACCACGGCCACATAATTCTGGACATTATACAATTGAAGCATGTCAAACTTCACAATATGAGAATCATATTCGAAGCATACTAAATATGCCAATAGGAAGCACGTCTCTTAAAGTTCCAGCGGCAGCAATGATTAATGTCCTTGGAAAGTCAGATAACCTACAAGAAACTTTAAGCCCATGCGTAGAAGCTTTGACAACGTCAGGAGCGACGATTCATTTGTATGGAAAGAGAGAATGTAGGAAAGGCAGAAAGATGGGACACATAACGATAGTTGCAGATTCAATCTCACAATTATACGAAAGAATCAATCCAATTCTTAAGATGATTGATGAAAATGATAGTTCAATAACAACAACAAGGAGTAATATTCAGCCTTTAGTTGGAATCATCATGGGAAGTGATTCGGATTTACCTACAATGAAGCCTTGTGCCGAAATATTGAAATCATTTGATGTACCATTTGAATTATCCATTGTGTCAGCTCATAGAACTCCAATGAGAATGGTACAATATGCAAAAGATGCTCACGTTAGAGGATTAAAAGTTATAATTGCTGGTGCAGGTGGTGCTGCCCATTTACCTGGCATGGTAGCCGCTTTGACCCCTTTACCAGTTATCGGTGTGCCTGTTAAAGGCAAAACTTTGGATGGTGTTGATTCTCTTTATAGTATTGTTCAAATGCCTGTAAGTTAAGAATAAATATTGTCTGTTTTTTTTTTTTTTTTTTATTTTCTTGTATTGACGATAAATTTGTTTGACTATAGCGCGGAATTCCTGTAGCAACAATAGCAATCAATAATTCAACAAATGCTGGATTATTGGCGGTTCGCCAATTAGGTTCTTTTATACCTAATTATTTACAAAAAATGCAAGAATTTATGGAAAGACAAGAAAATGAAGTTTTAACTAAAGTTGAAAAATTGGATAAAGTTGGCTGGGAAAATTATTGAGACACGTGTGAAATTGTATTTAAACTATTATTTATGTTTCTAAAAAAAGTTTTCAATAAATAATTTTTACAAAAAAAAGAAATAAAAAAAATATTCATGTTTTAATTGAACCTACTTTATAAGACAAGGAAGGTGTAAGAACTTGATCTTTTACATTTGGTACACTTAACTTTATATCTATGAGGAATAAATACAAGAATTTAGAAAATTTTTTTTTTTCCTTTTAAAATTGTTATTTTTTATTTTATTTTTTTTTATTTTTAGTATGTGACAATTTATCAAAAAACTCACCATAGAATGGTTTATTAAAGGACTCGACCTTATCAATAATCTTAATAAACTCCTTCGCATCTCCCAAATTGGAATTTGATATAAATCCAATCTCATCTGGATTCCAAGAAAATCTCAATTCGTTCAATAATTGATTACAATTCTTTGTATATTGAACTATAAGTTGTAAATAATGTCTATTTAGCATATATCCTTGAAATAATGAAATTGTTCTTAATTGAGCTTTACATTCCTTTAAAAACTTATTGAACATATTGCTTTCAATTTTAAAATCGATTCCTAAATGAATTACGGAATCAGGAATGGATATTGAAATTCTATTCCAATAATCTTGTGTGAAAATGTCAGAATCCGAATTCATATTATCGATTTTTAAAAAAAATTGCTCAAGAGGTAACACAGGAAGCAAAAGTGAAAGTAAATCAGGGATTGAATCCAAGTGTTGAAAAAAAGACAGAGACAAATGTGTAACATTAGGACAGAAATTTACAAGTGTTATAATAATATCTGAAGTTATATAAGTTAATGTTAATGTTTTTAAATTCTTATTTGACATTTTGAAAATTTGAATGAAATAATTTGATATATCTGGAGCATCATTAATATCCCACGTATAAAAATTCCGTATGCTTAATGTTTTCCCCTCAAATTCTTTATCCGGAACTGAAACGCTGGAATAATCATATTTAAATAATCTTAAAATTTCCAAGGTAACCAAGTTATTACACTCATTTAATCCTTTTATCAATTCTTTAAAATTACACGATTCACAAAATCTAATATGCTTTAAACTATTTTGTTGACTTTTACAAATCCTTTCGTAAATCATTTCACTCTCCTCTCGCATCCAAAACTCATGAATTCCCAACACTTCCATCTTTCTTTGTCCTTCTATAAATTCCATTAACGCCTTTCCAATCTTTGGAATTCGACCTCCTTCATATTTAATGTTCACTTCTAACCATTTTAAACTCTTTACATATTCTTTCATCTTTTCAAACATTCTCACGATCCTATTAATAAGTAAATCCTCATCAAGTCGTCTTTCAATTTTATAATGAAATTCGAATTTCTCCAACCGTGATAAAGCATTATCCTCAACCCCTCCGTTAATATTTATTATACTTTTATGAATCAAATGATTGGAGGTGATTATGTCTTGATAAGGATCATTTTCAATAATTAAATGTTGTAATTTGTGATCATTAGATCTCCTGAATAACATACCATAAATGATTTCACTCGCTAAATTGACCGAAGAATAATTGGTAGGAATGTCATTATATATTTTATTTAATTCCATGATTAATGAAATATCATCGCTCCGATGATTTTGTAAATAACATAACCAATGTAACATCGATAATCGAAAATGTTTTAAATCGAAAGTTCGAATATAATCCGGATAATTATATATTTTCGACTTGCTAAAATCTGATTCATAATCTGATAATTCAATATTATTACGAGTTAATTCGGATTTCTCTTGCTCTGAAAGAAAAGAAAGTAAAGTTCGAATTAAAAGAATGGAGCTTTTTACTTTCAAAGACATATTAAAAGGACATTGCCACAGGAAGCTCAAAGAGATATGACACCACGTTTGGTCGATTCGAAGGAATTTGTTGAGGGATGAACGACTAAACTTAAAATTTTGCAAGATTTGATAAATAATATCCGGAGATAATCGCGGAATTTTTAAGGCGGGTGAATTGGTTGTTGTAGGATCATTTGGTGGTGAATTATTTGGTGTCTCGAAATTCCAAGACGACGACGGTAAAGTTGCCGTTTGTTCGTCTGACTCGGTCTAACAAAATTTTCACGCGTAAACGCGAGTATTATATTAAGAGAATGTTAACGTAATTAATGTGGAAAATTTTTTTAAAAAAAAAGAAAAAAGCCAAAAGAAAAAAAAAAAAACCCTTACCAGTAAAAGATTTGCAATATCCATTATAGAAATTTTTTTTTTGTAAACGGGCTTTTTATTTCTCCAACAACAAAATTAGTGTAACGTTTTACACGATATTCGTGAATGGTACCCCTTCATTACTTAATCTTTAAAAAAAAATACTGATTTTCGTGATGATCTGTGACAAAATACCTACTTCCGTGATACATGAACTATTTAATTCTCATTGGCTGTTTAATTTTATTTAAAACTTTCCAGTTATGAAAGTTGTTAGTGAAATATTATTTTTTTTATTTTTTAATTCTTAATAAATAAACTACTATGGGGAATAACATTTCAAGTACAACTGCTTCGATAGCGACTGCGGGAATTGATAGTTACGTTAGTGAGCTTGGAGATATTCAATATGAAAGGAGGTAATCAAGCAAGCAAATCGTACTCGTTCGTTTATAAATAAATTGTATGACATTATTGATGTTTTTTTCCTCTTATCAGCTTAAGTAGTGCACGTTTTATGAAAACTATTCGTTGTCGTCATAAAGAGGGTGCCGTTGTTGTAAAAATATTTATTAAACCAGAACCTGGGTTGTCCTTATCAAATATTGTAAAAGCACTTCAAGGTATGTTTCAAATTTGTATATTATCAAATAATTTTGTTTGGCTTGCATAAAATTTATTTTTAAATTTATCTTTTATAGAGGAGAAAGATGTCTTATCGGAAGTTCCAAACGCGTTTGCATATCAACGAATATTAGAAACAGAAAAGGCCGGATATCTAATAAGACAATTCTTTTTCAGTAGTTTATATGACCGAATAAGGTTTAGCGTAATGTTTTTTCTTTTAAAAAAAAATAATAATAATCAATTCTTTTCAATTTTATTGTTGTATGCATATTTAGTAACCTTTTATTTATTTTTAGCACACGTCCATTTTTGAATCTTATAGAAAAAAAATGGATCACGTATCAAATATTATGTGGAGTACATGATGCTCACACCAGAGCGGTAATTTGCATTTTCGTATTAGAAATGAACAATTTTATTGAACTTTTGTTCTGATCTGTTTTAATTTTTGTAAGATTTATCATGGAGATATTAAGACAGAGAATGTTCTTGTGACTTCATGGAATTGGGTATATTTAGCGGATTTTGCTGGATATAAACCTACATATCTTCCAGAGGTATTTATTTTATTTGTTTAATCTGTTTATTTGATAAATTTGTGAAATACACACATATATATTTAGATTTTACTGATATTATTTTTGACGGAGATAGGATAATCCTGCAGATTTTTCGTTTTTTTTCGATACTTCATCAAGAAGAACATGTTATCTTGCTCCGGAAAGATTTTATAAACCTGGGAGTGAAATTGATAGAAGAAAGGTTGCGAATTTAGTTAATCAGTATATTGATTTATTAACATAATAATAATAATAATCTTAATCATCTAATAATGTATAACGAATTTATAATTATGATCAGAATGAATTGGAATTTGGAGAGAAGGATGGAGCAATAACACCTGCAATGGATATTTTTTCTTTAGGGTGTGGTATATTATTTTACTTGATACTTTTAATGAGTAATCATTTATTAAATATATGATGTATTAATTATTAATCATAATTGGTTGGATTTTTTGCAATTTATTTCTACTCCAGTTGTGTAATTGCTGAACTTTTTTTAGAGGGAGCGCCGATATTTTCCCTTTCACAGCTGTTTAAATACAGATCTGGCGAGTACGATCCTGAATTATATTTAAAAAAGATCGAGGATGAAGATATAAAGGTACGTCATTTTTTAATCTTTGTTAAATCAAAACGAAGAGGTCGCGTTTATTAAGTTGCATCGTTGTCATGACTTATATTTAGGCCATGGTAAAACATATGATTAATGTAGATCCATCCCAAAGATATACAGCAGAACAATATCTTCAAGAATGGTATTAATTTATGATTGTGAATTGAATTATGTAATATTCAGTTTATCTAAGTCTTTCATTTCTTTACTTAATGTAGGCGTGGGACAGCATTTCCACAATATTTTTATACTTTCCTTCATCAATATATTGGGTCAGTTACCGATCCGCATAATCAATCCCATCCAAGACGACTTATTTCCGCCGCGACTAATACAACCTTCTCTAATAAAAGATATGAGTTAAATGAGCCCAATAATACAATTGTAAATACTGATGCGGATGAGAAGATTGAGAGAATCTATCATGAATTTGATAAAATCGCCTTTTTCCTTGGATTTTTTGGCGATAATTCCTCACCAGAATCCGAAGTTGTAGTTGTTCGAGGACGTGGTGATAAATTTGGAGAAAGTTCTCGCCCAATTGAAAGTATGATATATTACATGTTTTGGATATTTTAATATAAAGGATCATTCTATTATAAATTAGTATTAACATTCTTAATCTTTTTTTTATTATTATTATTATTTTTATGTGTCAAGTTTCAACGCAAAACGTAACGGTACATATATGTTTTACCTATAAGAATAAAAAAAACCCCCATTTCAAATTATCTTTATAGATTTTTTTCTTATTATTATTATTTTTTTTTTTATAACCCTCAGCCTCCTTTTTTAGTTCAACTTCATATACCAAATTATGATCCAACTACAGCTAGCAAAAAAAGAGAGAAACATGCCGGTACTCTTTTTTATAATTGTTATTTAGTTTATTAAGTTACAAATTAAACATGGAACTAATTTAAAATTTGATGCGAAAGATGATGGGGCACTAATTTTCCTCTCTTTAATATGTGCTACTATTCGAAACACTGCATATCCATCCTCTAAACTTCATGCTCTGGATATGTTGCTCGCTATCGGACAGCACTTGGAAGACGAATTTAAATTGGATAGGTTAGTTCCTTATTTGATTGCTCTTTTAGGAGATGACGTCGGTCTTGTCCGTGCGAATGCCGTTAAAACCCTGACTCATTTGGTTTGTAATTTATGAAATTAAACGTTGCCTTTTTTTTTTTAAAAAAAAAAAGGGGGATTGTATAATTTAACAATAACTTTTTTGTGACAATAGCTGTCGATGGTAGAGACAATCACACCTTCAAATGCAACAATCTTTCCAGAATATATAATGCCAAATTTACTAAAATTTGCTACTGATCCCGAAGTACTCGTCAGAATGACATATGCTCAGTGCATAACATCTTTGGCCGAAACTGCTTTACGATTTCTAGAATTAACACAATCATTTAAGACAGAATCTTTAAACTCCACAGACAATGATACGGACATTGATAGTTCATATGAGGCTACCTATGATGCAACTCTACATGAACTTCAGTCTATAATACAAGATCAAGTTTCCACGCTATTAACGGATTCCGAAAGTGCGGTAAAACGTGCTTTATTATCCAATATTACTAGCCTATGTGTTTTCTTTGGTAGACAAAAAGCCAACGACGAATTATTAAGTCATATGATTACTTATCTAAATGACCGAGATTGGATGTTACGAAGGTTTACTTTATTCCTTTGCATATAAATTTATTTTTAACCCATATTAATTATTTATCCTCCTTGTATGCGCTGCAAATATAGTGCATTCTTTGAGAGTATCATTGGCGTTGGAACTTTCGTGGGAGGTCGTAGTTTAGAAGAATATATCTTACCTTTAATGATTCAATCTCTCTCAGGTATCATAAAATAATTTGATATAATTGATTTATATGAAATGTGAGATTTGTGATAGAGACGTCAAGAACTTTATCTTCCTAGATTCCGAAGAATTTGTGGTAGAGAAGGTATTAAACTCTCTAACAAGTCTTGCAGAGCTGGGATTATTTCAAAAAATGAAATTATGGGAGTTGACTGCGATCGTTTCTTCTTTAATGTGTCATCCTGGTATATGGATTCGATATGGTAAATATTTCAAAGTTAAGCTTAGATCCGTAATTAAACATATTAATCTTGAATATTTTTTTTTTAAAAAACAAAATAATTTTTAAGGTGCTATCGCATTTATAGCTTCAGCAGCTAAATTGTTACCTTCGACTGATGTGTGGTGCATAGTTTATCCGATAATAAGACCATTCCTGCAAGCTGACATCGCCGAAATAACCGAACTTCAATTATTAGAGAATGTTAAAGAGCCGGTATTTTCATAAATTTTCATTTATAAAGTTTAATAGTTGAAAATTTTAAATTTATATGTATATATAATATAGATTCCAAGGTCTATTTTTGATGCAGCAGTTTCTTGGGCTAGTAAAGCTACCAAGTCGTCATTTTGGAAATCGGCTAAAGAAAGAAAAGCAAACAGAGTTGCTACAGCTACGTTACCCGGTAGTTCAAGTGTCACTAATTTATTATCAAGAAGAACGTCTACTCTGGCAGTAAATACCGGAAAAGTTAATAAATCGGAAGAGTAAGTGATGTCTATCTATCTGTCTACTAGTAAATAGACCAAATCTTTCCTTTAATAATTGAACTCATAAATATCTCTTTTACTTTGTATAGGGATGAGAAATATTTGGAGAAAATGAGAAACATTGGAATGACTCCTGAAGATGAAGAAAAAATTGCTGCTATGAGAGACTATATATATAAACTATCTATATCTAAATCAAAGTTCGTATAAATTATTTTCTTTCCAGAGATAGATAATTATGATTTTGATCATAACTTTTTATTTTCTATTTAGTGCCAGACCAAACGAAAATAGTAATTTAGAGGTAAATTTAATTGCACATTCCATCAATTCAAAACAAAAAAAATATTTATAACCTCTATAATTATAGGATGATGATATCGTATTGAAAAACCTCGGAATAACACCACACAACGTGTTTGTTATGCCAACAAATGCTGATGGACATACAGTTACTAATTCTCTTATTCCAAACCTTAATAAAGCAGTAAGTTGTTATACCAACCATATTTTGATTCTACACAGCTTTTATGCTCATTTTATATATATATTTTTTTTGCATTTTTTTTTTTTGATATATTAAAAGAATGTTGTAGGCACCCCCAGGTATTTATCATGGAATGTACTCTATATTTATTGTTTATCAATATTAATTTAATTATTAATTATTAGCCTATACCGTCATAAAAGCGCACAGAATAGTAAGGGTTCATTAATTGAACCTTCAGGTACTCAAGTTCCTCGTATTTCGAGTGAAAGTAATCTTCAATTACTTTTACGAACAGAAGATCAAAGTCGATTGATTTCTACAAGTTTAGGTCAAATGAGGAATAACCTTGGGTCAAATTTTAAAAATCAATCTACAACATCAGTTGCTTCTGAACCTTCTCCCGCATTACACCATAATAAACACATTCCTCCACCTTTAACGATTAATATAACTAATGCTAATCAATCAAATTCTGTAACAACTGTTGCAACCCCTTTGCGGGAACGGCACTTGTCTTTTGCGGGGAAGCTTGAAAGTCCTAAAGCTGCAGCTGCGACTAGTACAAATACTACTACTGCAATTGCAACTTTGCAAGTACCTTTTCCTTACCCAGCTAGTAGGCAAGGTCCGAATGGTACTATCTTAAATTCGGTTATATCAGATAGCCTTCCAAGGAGGAATCTTGAAGCATTTGTTTCTAGCACTTATGGTTTGTTTCATATCCATTAATAATGTTTACTAATTATTATTAAGGAATATTAAAAAAAAAAAATTTTTTTTTTTGAAACCAAGAGGGTAACGACAGAAATGTAAAGAACTTATTAGATAATTTATATTTTGAAGCAAATCCTGAACCAATGCCAGGTAAGATAAACGAAATATTCGTATTGATCAAAGATCAAAAATATAACTGATTCCTAATTAAATCAATGTTGTGTCTTAGAATTTGGTCCAAAGGTGACAAAAATGTTAATTCCACGTACTCGAGGCTCAAGAACAGCAAATGTCAAATCGATCTCAAATTGGAGACCTGATGGTTAGTTTGTCGATCGTTCCTAAAGATGATCAAATGATTTCCTGGAATGATTATGTTAACGATAATTGATTTACTTTAGGTACCCTGGTAGCACATATGACTGAACACAAAGGTGCAATCAACCAAATTTGCGTATCACCTGATCATAATTTCTTTGCATCATGTTCAGATGATGGCACAATCAAGATTTGGGATTGTTCTAGATTTGTGAAGAATTTCAATAATCGATCAAGAGTTACTTATAACCAAGGTATAATATTTTTCAATAATAAAAGATTTACACACACATATATATACATAATATTTTTTTATTATATATATATTTTTTAATATAAGGAGGGAAAATCAAATGCATGACATTCATCGATAGTACACACAGTATTGCTGCGGCATCTGATAACGGTAGTATTCATGTGTTCAGAATTGATTATACTCCGGGCACAAATTCACCTAAATATGGAAAGCCCGTGATAGTTAGAGAGACTTGTTTGGACGGAGAATATGCGGTAGCGATGGAACATTATGAAATCGGTATACTATTAGTTTTATTTTTTTTTGGTTCTTAAATGTCCAAGTTCTATTAGTTTAATCATACATACCCTACATTAGGCGTCGAGTCCATACTCTTGTATGCCACATCCAAAGGAAATATATGCGGATTAGATTTGCGCACAATGCAGGTCGTATGGACCTTTAAAAATCCTAGAAGTCATGGGGTGATTACAGCAATTGTTACAGACAAGAAATACAGATGGCTTCTTATTGGAACATCTCGGGGTATCTTTACAATGTGGGATCTTCGATTCAGAATTCAATTGAAATCATGGGTTCATCCCACCAAAAGTCGAATTAGTAAACTTTTACTACATCCACAAGCTGGTTCTAAACAAAGATGGTGGGTTATTGTTGCAGCAGGAAAGAATGAGGTATCGGTTTGGGACATAGAAAAGGTTGAATGTAAAGAAGTTTTTGGTGTACGAACCGGGAACGAAAAAACGGGTGGAGTTTCGTTGGACATGTTTAAGGTGAGTTATTTAAATAATCATTCATACCCTTCTTGTATTAACCGTTTTGTCTTTCCTTTAGGCATCAGATCCTCCTGGACCAAGCGATATATTAAGGAGCGCTTTCACGGCCCACGAAGGCAGTTTTTCAGCAGACAATTCTATACGGGCAATGATTTATCCACCTGATTGTAATTATATGATTACGGCCGGATCCGATCGTAAAATTCGATTTTGGGATAATAATCGTATAGATGAGTCATACATTGTTGTTGGATCTGATATAGATGAACCCAAACCCTCTTATAGGTAAAGTTGTGACCAGTTTTTCATTTAAATAAATATAAATAAATATAAATATAAATATAAATACAAATATATATTTTTATTAACAAAATTTTTTTAATTCTCGTAGTACAAAGCAATTTGATGGAATAAACGTCCACTATGAAATTCATCGAGTCATGAACACGGCAACATCAAACTTGTCAATGACAAATTCCAACAATAGTAGTTCTGGAGGAAGTTATAGTGGTGGTGGTGGTGGTAACAGTAATAGTAAACGATCAAATAAAAATAATACCCATACTGCAAGAAATCAACTAATTACAGTTCAACAACAACAATTACTTAAAAATCATTTAGATTGTATAACAGATTTAAAGGTTACAGAGTTACCACATCCAATGTTAATAAGTGGTGATAGGGATGGAATAATCAAGGTATTTTTGTAATATAAAATTTATTTAGAGTAAATTGAGGCCAAAGAGATAATTATTTAAGAAATTTTTTTTTAAAAAATTAATTTAAAATAAATTATTCTGGTAGAAATTAATTAAATAAAATGAATCAAATAAGGATTGGTTAACTAAAATTAAATGTTTTAAAATATGACCAATCTTCATAAATCCGTATTTTATAAATAGATTTTAACTTTTTAATATAACAAAAAAAAGATCATTGACATTCGCGACCTTCGCACTGATTTTTTAAGTTATTTATTTACGATTAATCTTACATCAAAGGAAATAAATGATAATTGGTAAAAAAAAAAAAAAAGGGCCAAGACAAGAATTTTAGTGGGGGGAGGGGGGATTTAAAAATATGTTTCGGATAAATGATGATAATGTACATGCATCAGGAAAATTTTTTTATTTATAATAATAGTGTGTGTTACATTTGATTTTCCCGAAAAAAATCATAAAAGGCATATAAATTGTACAAGAAACTTGATAGTTGAACCAATCTAGTAAAAATGGAGAAATTTTTTTTAAATTGAAATTATTGAGAGTTCATTCAAGGATTTTAAACCTTGTATTTAATAAGCATGAAGTGTCGTAAATTATGTAAACATATTAAAACCTTTGAAAATAAGTGGTTAAATCATCCCGGAAACAAATCCTCTTGTGGAATTGAAATAATATATATTCAAAATTGATGTAAATCATGAATAAATAAATTTTTTTTTTATTTACATTCCGATTTAAATTTATTTATTTCTTGGTTTTCTTTCAAGGAGATCGAATATTTATATAAAAAAGCGATTGAAATTTTATCCCTTTTTTTCTCTCTCTCTCTTTCTTATTCTTCAAAATAGTCGACAAATGTTATTTGATCTTTCTTGAGCACATCTTTTTTTTTGCAATTAATCATTAAAGATGGGACAAGGGATATCGATTAGAAGACTAAAAAGGAAAAAAAGTACATTAAGTCAACGTTCAACGAAATCTCTTCAAGGATCAGATACGGAATTTAATTTTTCTGTGCAAGAACATAATATAAGAACACGTTATGAAATTGCTATAAAAGATATATTTGAATCGAATTTTTCCTCCCCCGTTGAAGATATATTAACATTGAATGGAAAGGTATTGGAGATAGGGTAAATAAAAAATCTTAATCTTAATCTCCTTCCTTTTATTTCTTTCTCATTTATTTATAATCTCTATTTTGCAGATGTGGAACAGGAACATGGTTAGTTAACATGGTAATTTAAAAATATACTTGTTTATTACTACACATTTTTTTATTATTATTATTATTTTTTTTTTTTAAAAAAATAATAATAATAATAATAATAATAATAATAATAAAATAAAATAAACCGTTACATTTCTTTTCATTCGTTAAGGCCTATGAGTACCCGAATTCAGAATTCGTTGGATTGGAAGTGAAATCAGATATAATTATCCCTCGAAATTTTCCAAAAAATCTAACGATAATAAAAGATACTTTAAGTTTACCATATGATGATGAAGAATTTGACTTTTTGAAAATGGGGGAATTAATATTCCGCGTAACAGAAGTTGAATATGAATACATGATCAAAGAAATGATCAGGTATTTAGAAAATAATATCGAGTAGGTTAGAAATGATTGCTATAAGAAATTAAAGAAAAATCTTATCAATTTCGAATTAGAGTGACCAAACGCGGAGGTTGGATAGAAATCAATGAACCGCATTTAATTCCGCCAAAACATTCAAGTCTTACCAAATTGGTTAATGCTTGTAAGTAATAATAATAATAATAATAAAAATCTGTAAATCAACTTAATTCACACTGAAAATATTCTTACAAGTTAGACAAGGAAGTTGTCGAATTACGAGGAATCAACACAAATTTGATAGAGAAAATGCAACTTATTTTGCATTCAACGAATAAATTACAAGAATTTCAAGTTGATTGTAAAACAATGCCTATGGGATTTAAAGGAAGTGAAATAGGAGAACGAGTTGCCGAAATCTATATGAATTATTATAAAGATGTTGTCGGTCACGAAATAGCCGCTCATCTAGACATGTCTTACGATGAATTTCTACGAACCTTATTTAAAGAAAGTGAAAAAGATTTAAGCACCTTAAGTTTTGAGACAAAATATTATAGGTTTTTTGGTCAGAAGAAATGAAATCATTTTTTGAACCTATTCGTGAGATTTCTACATATTAAGTTTTTAAACAATATCCATTGTATTAATATTTTCTATCTTTTTTATGATTTTTTTTTTAAGATTATTTTTATTTTTATTTATTTATTTATTTTATTCATGTATTTTTAAAGACTTCATTAAGTTTGTAACTTATTTATTTTAAGCATTCTAAAAAGGATAAATTAATTTTTATGATTTTTCTAATAAACAAGAATTTTTAGATAACCTTTTAAGCATTCTGAAAGTTTCTTTTAGATGGTTTAAATTTTATAACTTCAACACGTTTATAAAATAAAAAAAAACCTATGATCTCGTATAACCAATGCGGGATTGGTGTAACATAAGTATCTGTATAAAATCAGGCAAATTTCTTTTTCACATCACTCACTCCAAAAATTTATACGATTGGTAAGTTATAACAAATTATATTTTTTATTTTTTAGTTTTTTAGGTAAGTGACAATTTATCCATGTTCGTAGTCAAAAAAGGAAACCTTGAGTATTTGAATTTGTAGAATTTCGAGGGCTATAATTTTGAGATTTAATCAATTCTTTTACTTGGGAGTGAGTTTAAACTTTTTTTTTTTTTTGTAGATAAAAAAAAAAGTCATAATCATTTTCCTTGACGATTTATATTTAAAAACAAATTATTAAATCCTTTTTATATTTTTTAGTCACAATGTCATTCCTAACTCAGCTTTCTCGATCTTTTCGACTCTCATCAACATTACCACAACCTTCGTCAATGTTGCTTAATTCGATTAATTTTACTCGTGGAATGAAAGTCAGGTCTTCGGTAAAAAGATTTTGTGACGGTTGTTTTACCGTGAAAAGGCGTGGTAGAATTTTTGTACTTTGTAAAAAGAATAAGAAACATAAGCAAAGACAAGGATGAACGATATGTTGAAGAAAGTTTTAAATAAAAGAATTTAATATTTAATAACGTTATGACACTTATTTTTAAAAATACTTACATTAAACGAAACTCTCGTCCAAAATTATCATTCGATCGGATTTTTCAAATTCCTTTACAAAAAATTTCGGCGGTATTCTTTTTTCGACGATCGTGATTGCGGAATTTTTGGTTCACTGCAATTTTGGTCATGTGTTAAGAGAATATGGCACGTGTGCTGACCTAAAAAAAAAATGCCGAACATTTTTACGTTTTAGTTAATATTTTAATATTTAAAATTTTATAGTTCTTTGAATTGTCATCCTTTTTTTTTTTTAACAAATAAAATTAAGCATGTCAATTCTTGAGGAACACATAAAATCTATTTGTTCTCACAAAGCTCTTGAGATTTTTTTTTTTTTTTGGAAAGCTTTCTCCTCAAAAAAAGTAACTGTTCTGAACTTCTTTCATGTCCTATCAAGTAGTAAAAAAAAACTCGTACCTTTTTTTTATTTTTTTTTTGTATATGACGATAGTCGTACGTGATCTTTTGAAGCAGATTTTTTTTTTTTGAACCAAGAATTATTCTTGAGCTTAATTATTACATTTTTCTTTCTTTTTTTTTTTTAAAAAAAAAACACTCATACCTAATACCAATAAAATTTAAATCCGTGGTCAACGTAAGTACTGCGGTCTCTCGGAACCGACCGAAAGTTGATTTTTATTTATATTTTGTTTGGAAACAAAATTTAAAAAGATAACGAAATTGACAAACATTTAATAAACGATTTAAAATTATGTACATTGCTGCGCCAAATAAAATTGTATTGGTTTAACAAAAACAAATGGTGATTGTTATTGTAAAACGAAATTTTCTTATAGCAACTAAGCAAACATAAAATATGAGAAAGAAAAAAAAATACAGGAAAATTATAAATGAATAAATAAAATAAAATATGTATGCGTATATATATACACACTTAAATATAATTAACGTTAATTAACTCTCAACATTATTTAGGTCTTTTTTTATTAATTTAAATACTTCGTAATCTTCAATAGTGAAATTTGTGGTCGTGGTTATGGATTTTTCGTAACTTCTTTGAATACAACTCCAAGGAAGATCATAAATAAATTTTCCATTTGCATGTCTCGAAGATTCTACCATGACCAAATCGGAAATCCCGAAACAGGGTCCGATGCAAGGTGAATCATCTATAGCACAGTTGTAATTTTTGATACGACTTAAAATTGCTTGCGAATGGGCGGGATCTTTACCATCGCCTAAAGAGAATATAAAACTTTCCGTGCATTCAATCCAATCACCTGTTGAATTCCAACCTATTGGATTGTATCCACCAAGTAATTCTCCTGTTCCTTTAACTTTTAAAACGATAAGAGCAGGTCCCTGGTTATCACAAAGTCTATGAAATGTTGAACATTTAAAATTGTCTCGTGACCCTCTTAATAAAAGATTAAAATGACAAGGAACTAAATGACATGTTAACGGATCAAAATTTTTTTGATGATCTATCCAGCTGGCGATTAGAGCGGCATGTCTTGATCCAATTAATTTGGAATCGAGCGCTATCCCACGAGGCGGTACAAGAGTTGTTGAAATGGGTGGTTTGTCCATCTTAAAGTGATAACGTAAAAGATTTTCATACAAATCTTTTGGAAGTAATGATTTGTAGGGTCTCACGTGATTATAAAAATCGGCTCCCGAGATATGATAAAACCTTATGAATTGTATACAATCCTTTAATTTTAAAGCTAATCTAGAAAAATCTTCTAGAGCCCATTCCTTAATATTAAAGGATAACTCAATTTGAGATACGCCCCATTTAAGTAATAATATCCAAACATCAATCTCTTCAAGATGAAGATCATCTCTCTTCAATATTCCGGTAACTAATTTATCTGGCCATTCCATAAATTTTCCACGTTTACCGAATCTTTGTGGATCATTTGAAACCAATTTTATACAGCTTTCTTGAAGTTTGTGAAAATTATCATGTTGAAATATAGTATGACAATATTCATTAATATTTTTCAATAACCAATCATTTCCTTTTGTAATAAAATAATCCTGAACGTATTCCAACAGTTCGTTCAAGCAAAGCTCATCGGCGGCTATCAGAAGTTCCAAGGTTTTCTCCCCATCAAACTTTTCCCACGAAACCGTACCGCTATATATATAGCTTAGGGTGAGAAGAAAAAAAAAAAACAGTTGGAAATTAAAATTATTAGAATTGAACGTTGTGAAAAAATTTTTCTCCATCTTTTTGTAAGAATAAAAAAATAAAGTAAAAAAAACCAATAAAAGCTTTTAATTACTTTAATATGATTTCAAAACTTTCAGGAGTAATATTCGGTTTTGTAAAAACATAAGTGTTGTCTTCGATTGTAGCCCAATCTCTTGATAAAGCATGTCGAAAATAAGTTGAACGTGCGCGGAGAACGACGGAATGCGCCTTAAATGTTTGAACCTTGGGCAATTCGCCAACTTTTATCGATACATTATAATCATCGGTATTTTCAAGCAGCCTCTTGAAATCGTTTGATAATGTTACAAAGAGTTCTGTCGACATATTAAAGTAGTTTTTAAGAAAAAGAAGATGGTAATGTGAAAAAAAAAAAAAAAGCTGTGCTGATGGGATTAGGAACCCTGAAATTTTATAAAGGACAGGATCTGTCAAAATTAGGATTAAAAATTTCGGTACGGAAAATTTCCATATATATGCTAGTGAAGTCCGATAAGATTTTCACGATATATGCATGATTTCTAAAAAGGATTTCTATGATTGGACAGTGATTGACAATGATGATTGTTATTTTATTCGATTACCAATATGATTAGTATTTTTTTCTAGATGAAAAAATTATTTAATTTGAGTTCCTTCTTACATACGCCAAATTCAACCTCTTAACTAATGGAGCAGCATATTAGTTTGTAATCGATAAACGCGTCAGGTCAGAAAAGTTCAAATATATGCACTTACCTGTATTGTTTTTCTGCAAGTTTATTTTATTTTCTAATCAACATTATTTTTAAGACATTCTTTTTTTCCCTTTTATATGATATAAAGATTCAAAGAAAGAATACCACATATCCATTTATAATTATGTGCTAATCAAAGATTGGTAATATAAAAAATACTTATAAAAAAAAAGTTGCGTAAGGGTAAATTTGATCCTTTTTCTTTAAGGTTAAGACCTGCTGATAATAGGAATCATCAAACGTTCATAAATTCGTGCCATGTTAACCCTTTTCAGGATCCTTTGTTTTAGAAAAAGTAGTGAATTCTCATCGATCGCGTCAACAATACCAAATAGGTTAATTGTAAATCAAAAAAACCTTGTACCCGGGATTCCCGATCACCACCGTCAGGTGACCCGGGTCGTGAATTTATTAGACGGGTAAATCACGACCGAGAAACAAAGTAACTAACTCAAAGTCGTTAACTTACTTGTATTTAATATGTCAAAATGTACGATTTGTAAATGGAATTACCGGGTTTGCTATGTATATTTGCGTGTCATTTATTTAAGTATTTCACATTTAATAAATGATTAAGAAACGGATAATTATTAAAAAAAATGGTAGAATATCAAAAATGTAATGAGTGCTATGCTAGCGTTTTATTACGACATTTCCACATTTTTTTTTTTAACTTGAACATTAAGGTAAAACATTTAAACTTAAAAGAGCATTTCTCTTCCGTAATTGTGATAAAATTGTTCAACAAAACAAGAGAACAAAAAATCCTGCATTTGGATTTCAAAATAAATCTACACTAATCCATATTTGCTTCCTCACTATTTCCCTGTATAATAAATAATTTCCATATTCATGCATTCAATGTTTGAACATGAAAATTTGTAATAAACTAAATCACGTGATTCGAAACTCCGGATTCTATTAAATTAAATTTGTAGCTATTCAGATTTATAAATGAGTAATTTGAACCAAAAATTATTTTAAATCTTTCGGCTTGAATCTTTCCGGATTAAATTTTCAACCTTCCGAAAGTCAGAAAATTCAGTAACATTAAATTAAGAAACAAATTTAATCGCATAAATGTTTCTTAATCGGAAGTATAGATATTTAACTTATTTCGAAGTACTGAACATAGAAATGACTTTTTTCTTGATCCATTAAAGGAAGATAAAATCAACTATTTGTAACTAATTGTTATGCACTATTTATTATCAGTTCAACTTACGTAAATAAAAGGAATTAATTATTGATTTTAAAAAAAAAGTTCGGCTTAATAGATCATTATAATTTTTAGCGAACAAAAAGTTCATGAAAAAATACTCATCTTTAGGATTGGTCACGAGCATTATCAAGATGATTTTTATTATTAAAATTGACTTCAAAATTTAATCTTCTTGTTAAAAGATTGTTTGGAATTCCAATTTTAGAAACTTCTGACCGCCCATTACATAATACTAAGTGAAAATCGATAACATACCATTATATTGCATTTCATCAAATTTTTCTCGAGTTTTATGCATTTCAATTTTATTCTTGGTTTCAATAATTCAAAGATCGTTGCAGATACTAACCCTCAAAAAATTGAATTGAAAATAGTTTATAGCTTTTAAAGGAATAGAGTCAATTGATACATATAGTAATTAATTTCGGTTGTAATTCTGGCAGCTATTTCCATCAAATCTCGGTGCATTTACAAGAAAACGATTTCAAAGCTTGCAAACTAATGAATAATTTTCATAAAGATTTCTGAAAACTTTACTAATATTATTGAGATAATAATATAATGGCTTGTGAAACTTTTATATCGTTTTAATGTGATTTTTATTCATCAATGAATCAAAAGCAGATCAATTACCAAGTCGCGTCGTTCTAGTTTGCTAATGGCTTCCACAAAATTCACCTAATCAAAGTTCAATGTTGTCTGCTTACCCACTCTTTCCAGAGACTATGAGGGAATAGATTGGATTCTCTTGAGGTGTCAGACTTATGTACACGTTTTGGATTTCTAAAGAGACAATTCTCCTTATATGCGATCACTCAGAGTCGAAGATGACGCAAAAACTCAATTATTTATAACGTTTTGGCGCTTGTCAAAGCATTTTTACTCGCACAAAAAGTTATCATGTTTATGTACTAATAATTACACAGTGACCAAATGCCTGTTGAAATAAAAATACGTCACAATCTGGGTTTAGGATATTGTAATCTCTGAGAATTTATTAGGAATCCAAATATGAAATTTAAGGAAAGGTTCTTATCGCAGACGTTTGACGTAATAGACTTCATTACTATATTATTAAATTATAATGACACATACTTTTTAAGCGAAAGTAGCTAGCTACCCACTTGTATGCTACCTGTGTTGTTCAACTTAACAACTGGATCTAAAATAGTACTGTAAGGTTTGTAAAGTTGGAAAAAACATATTTTAAAAATATCTGAAAATTTTTGCATAATCAGTTTTTTACCGAAAAATTTAGGAGGGTAATTAAGGAAAATAAAAAATGACTTCTTTATTTTATATATCCTATTAATGCTAATGTTCATAATATTAGAAATAATAATACACCAAATGAAAAAGATAAATCTTTATTTGAAATTGATAAAAATGATTTATTTTATCAAAAATTCCTTTATCAGAAACTTTTACAGAACAAAATGAATGTCAAATTCTCAAATTTCAAAATCTTATGTATCAGATTAAAAATTAAAAACAAAAATTAAATAAGAATTTCAAAGAAAATGGTTTTAAAGAATTTTTGTGACTAAGATATAATTCTAAAGAAAAAAAATGCATTGTAAATTATATAGATTTTATGGTATTAATATTCCTTTTACTAAAAAGATATAATATTTTTTTTATAATTTATTATTATTAAATAAAAATTTAATAATTTATAATTTAATTAAATTTAACCTAAATTCAAAAATATTAGTAAAAAGTCAATAATTCAAGAATCTAACAATAGTAATAATTATAAAAGAAGCTTTAAAAATAAATTTACAAATAGTAAGTAGTAAACTTATAATGATTAAAACTATATCAAATATTATAGAAATCTTAATAAAATAATATATTCTATAATACAAAAAAAATCTTTTATTAAACTAATTTTCTTAATTAATATAAATCAGATATATATTAAAAAATTCTAATTTTAATAAACTACAAATATTAATATTATAATAAATAGATATTAATTTATCATATAATTTTTTAAGTTAAATATTATTAAAAGGTTTTATCAAGGTTAAATATAAAGTTATTAAATTTGAATAGTTAAATGTTAAAACTATTTTTTAGTTATATTTTTTTATTTGAATCAAGATATAAAAATTTATTATTAAATTATTAATAATTAATGTTTAAATTTACTAAGTTAATTTTAAAATTTAATTTAAATTAAAAAAAAAATCATCTCTTTTTCATTAAATAAAAATAATATAATATTTGATAAAAATAAAAGTGTAATAATAAAACTTTTAAATAAAAATTCTTATTTATTTGAAGTTATTGCATTATATATAAATAATATTAATATATATATTAATTCAAAATTATATAGTTTTTATAAATATATTAAAACTTTAATTAAAATATATTATTTTTTTTTTGTAATTCTAAAAAAAAAATATTAATATTAAGAAATTTTCAATTAATATTAGATTATTCAATTGTAAAAATAAAGAATATTATTGAAATTAAATAATTATTTTAATATAAAACTGTTAAAAAATATATATATATTTATTATGCTATTATTGAATATTATTCTTAAAATTATAATAATATTTTTATTTAAAATAAATATTTAATATTTGATTTGTCTAAAATATAACTGAAAAACATTAATAAATATATAGTTAATGTAATATATATCTATCATATTATGTAATTATTTAATCATATTTTATTTTTTTGTATTACACTTTACATTTATGTTTTAACTAATTGATTTTTTATTTATTTATTTTTATTTATATTATATGCATGTTATCATATTTTAAAGTTTAATTACTTTTTTTTTTATTATACTAAACTTTTTATAACATTGATTATTATATTAAATAATAAAATATACTATTTTAATTATAATAAGTCAACATAAAAAAAATCTTGAAAATTTTTAAAAAAAATCCAGTAAAAGATAAAAATTTTGGTAATTATTTTTTTTAATCAGAACTTGTGATTGAAATTAAAAATATTTCTGGTTTTTTTTGTATTACTAATAATAATTATATAAAATATGATAATCTTTTTTTCAAATTTTATCATATTT